AGGGATCAAAGTCTTTCTTCTCTCTGGTGTAGCTTGCCTGCCCTCTTCTGGCCTCATGTTGTCATAAGGTCAAGTCATATTCACTTATCACTGACCAAAAGAAAATAAATATAAACCCACATAGGGAAATGTGTGATAAGGTATTGATTAAATGTACATTTTATAAGCTATGAGCCAACAGTGAAAGTGAGACACACATGGCTTATTCTTTCTCTTTTGGATCATTAAATTAGAAACACCATCAAGATGAGAGTTATTCCTCATTTTGAACAAAATGCCCAGAACCACTTCAAGGACTCCTTGAACTCCCTGAGAAAACCCTGGGTGTCCTCGGGCCCCACTTTAAGAATTACTGCTGAAGGCATTTTAAAAAATACACTTTGGCATTAATGGATCTGTAAAACCATCAGACTGTCAGAGAGTGAAAAATGGCGGTAGCATGAAGCATTTAATAAAGTAATCTTTGAAAGTAATGACGTTGTTTCTAAGAGCAAACCTAACATCCAATCAGTCACAATCAAACTAAAAGGTGGGAAAAAATGGATAGACAATTAAAGCAGCAGTCTCCATGGTTCACCACCCATAAGCTATTTCAATAGCCATGGATCTAAGTTTTAGCATGTTTCTTTATGAGAAACACCGTCCCTATTAGAGAAGGGAATAGAAAAAAAACGGTGGAAAAAAAGCTTTCTGAGTCAAAACCATCAGCAGACGCCACTGCAGCGGTATTTTTGAACCCATGCGTCAGAGCAGCGCCCGTGGCCAAACCGCTTATTAAAACGCAGAAAAGCCAAGTGCCATAAAGACAGAAGGCGAGCAGCTTGTTATTATTCTTTCTGAGAGGTGAACAGGCTGAGATCAATGGCTGGAGCGGTTTCCCCTCACCACAACTATGGACCAGTAAAGCACAAAGGGCCATGCGGCTCCGACCCATACAGTCACAGATATTAACTATTCCAGGGGACTTTGAAAACAGCTGCCAAGAATAATTTCCCACATGTAACATTTCCCACGAAAGCCACAGAGTCATACTGGCATATTCTGTGCCCCACCAGACCCTGTATGACCCGACTAGGATGACGAGTTGAATCAATGGAAAACCAGATTCACTTTGCAAATTTAACCCTTAAATGGTTTTAAGGCATTAAGTGGGTACCTGTTATATCATGAAAAACACTGAAGGTTGAGGGGTCAAGTACTCAGGTCATGTGACTTCATGCCACATTGAAAACTATACTCATCATTTGTATCAATATCCATAATGGTGGTGTACGTGGACAAAGACCCTGGCCACGTGGTAAGTGTTGTTATTTTTTCATGTTTATTGTTTGTTGAGGAGATTTTGTTTTACAAAATAGTGTTTTTCAAGGATAACTGTAATTGTTCTTGTTGAAAAATAATAAATTTCATTTTCACAACTTAGATAATCGGGCATTGAAAGTCTGTTTCCTGGAGGATACGTTGCTCAGATAAGGGTATAAAACACTGACAATTCACGTTCAGATATACTGCTGTTTTGAGGCCTATAATCTACAGATAATCAATAATATAAAAAGGTGTGAAATATGAAATATTGATTACTCCCCTCAAATAATCCACCCTTATGGTGGTGGAGGGGTTTGTGTGTCCCTGTGATCCTGGGAGCTGCGTTGCCTGGGGCAGTCGTCTGTGGTAGGGTCTCCCAAAGCAAATTAGTTCCAGAGGAGGGGCCAAACTAAGAAGTATTCGTGGACCCTGTGTTGCGTTTATAAGTATAATTTTGAGACTTCCTGGAGCCAGACCTGTGGGGGTGTGCAAGCCGAGTGGCAGGCAAGGCACCTGGGCATTCCTTCCTTCCTCGATTCCTTCTTGCCTTCCTTGATTACTTCCTTCCTTGATTGCTTCCTTATTCCTTGATTACTTTCTTGATTCCTACCTTCCTTTATTCCTTCTTTCCATCCTTTCATTCTTCCTCCCCCTCTTCTTCTGGTCTGAATTCCTCCTCTTCTTCTGCCTCTTCCTCCCCATTTCTTCCTATTCCTCTGGTCCAAATTCCTCCCTTTATTCCTTCCTTCCTCCCTTTATTCCTTCCTTGATTCCTCCCTTGATCCCTTCCTGCCTTCCTTCACTCCTTCCTTTATTCATTCTTTCCTTCCTTGACTCCTTGATTCCTTCCTTCCTTCCTCTGTTCCTTGATTACCTGATTCCTTCCTTGATTGCTTCCTTGATTCTTTCCTTCCTCGAGTCCATCCTTCCTTCAATTCTTCTTTGATTCCTTCCTTCTTTCCTTCACTCCTTCCTTGATTCTTTCCTTCCTTTCTTGATTCCTTCATTCTTTCCTTGATTGCTTATAGTACTGTCCTGTGTTAATGATGAAAAGGCTGGACCCTCTCCTGCCTTTTCACTCTCACCCATATCACTCTAATCTCGTGATATTTGTCCTGTCCAGCATGAGACTGAACCTCCTGTACTGCTCTGAGATGTGCAGTGAGGGATCCTTGATTCCTTCCTTCCTCCCTTGATCCCTCCTTGCTTCTTTCATTCCTCTCTTGATTCCCTCCTCCATTCCTTCCTTCATTCCTTCCTTCATTCCTTGATTAATTCCTTCCTTGATTCCTTCCAAAATAGTGTTTGAACCTTGATAATTTCAAGGAGAATAAAGAGAAAAAGGCACACAGGAACATTTCTGATGAGGCAGAGACAAGCTACCCTGAGACAGGTCCTGACAGTTTGTGCAGAAAATCTTTGGTTATGCAAACCGATTGTTGCAGCAGCTGTCCGGATGGCTGGTCTCAGATGAACTTGGAGATTCTGGATGTGGAGGTCCTTGGCTGGTGTGGTTACATGTGGTCTGTGGTTGTGAGGCCGGTTGGATGTACTGCCAAATTCATCATTTTCGAGTGGCCTTTTCCTGTGGCCAGCCTAAGGCACATCTGTGCAATACCCATGCTGTCTGATCAGCGTCTTGATATACAACACCTGTGAGGGGGATGGATTATCTCGGCAAAGGAGAAGTGCTCACTAACACAGATTTTAACAGATTTGTGAACAATATTTGAGAGAAATAGGCCTTTTGTGTACAAAGAGAAAATCTTAGATCTTTGCGTTCAGCTCATGATGAATGGGGGAAAAAACAAAAGTGTTGTGTTTATAATTTTGTTCAGTGTAAATTAGTCATTTTGTTTTGTCCACTTAATGGGGCATATAATAAATGGTATATCAGTGGAAATATTGCATTGTGCTGCTGAAATGTGGCTAAAAATACCAGTTAGTGAGAAAGGAAAAGCTACTATGGGGATAAATCCTCTATGTTCAAAGCTGATGGGAGTCGCTCTTCGGTTGTTGCTCAGCTGTTTTATAGTACACAGAGGTCCTGTGTTAATGATGAAAAGGCTGGGTCCTCTCCTGCCTTTTGACTCTCAACCTCATTACTCTGATCTCCTGATACTTGTCCCGTTCAGGATATGAGGCTGAACCTCCTGTACTGCTTTGAGGCGTGCAGAGAGGAGGAGAGACCTGCTGTTGTCATCATTTCTAATAGCAAAATCCTGAATTTTAGCTGTTTCCAGACCAAATGCATTTGCATGTCATGTGCCATTTTGGCCAATAAAATAAATATTCAAATATGATGGATTTTTTTCTTCCTGACAACAGCTAGCGAATATCTATATATTAGATGTCTGACCACCCAGAAAATCCACTCCAGTGCAGTGTTGGAGGATGTCAGTCTGCAATGACACCAGCAAGCAAACTGTCCAATTTATAGTCAACCCAAAACATCAACTTTGTTGTTCAACATTTGGGGTTCATGCATGTTTTAGAGCCTGATAGAGGTGCCAGGCTACGTCACGTACTTTTCCTTCTGCTGGTGTATGAGGGGCCGATGTCACAAAAATTAAAGAAGAAATATAAATGTGACAAAATGCAATCTGCTCATACATTCTGACTATGGAAATCAGAGAAACATCTCTCTCTGCAGAGATGCATACAGCATCTCATCTGTAAGAAAAGCTTGGATGGAAAAAGGGAGACGCAGATTTTCTTGGGCCTACAATACAGCATCAGTTGATATCGCATGCTTAGCTGGGACTGCACAGCATCTGGACTCTGTATGAACAAGTCAAGTAATTCAAAGTATTCCCTGTTCTGTCTTGGGCCGAAAGAGACTTACATCCATCACGTACATTTTGTGCCAAATTACACTGTGCCCCAGGAAAAAAAATGGAGCACACAGAAATCAAACACTTAACTAGGCTGCCATTCTCCCCACAGCTGTGTGCTATGCTATTAAAATGTAAAATGGTATGAGAATACTACTCTATATTGAGGCAGCTATTCCACACTACAACTGGAAATTACAGGATAACTCCCTATGCATTCATGTCACAATACTTTGCACACAACAATAGCAATGCTACAACACGTGGTTCAGCAAATGACAATACAATTATCATCATCGATGAAACATTACACATTTGTTGTTGTAACTGAAGAGATAAATAAAAAGGCAAATCTATGTACCAAATTGCGCAGGTTTGAGACCTTTTATTATAGCTATGTTTAGCCCCATGAATTAAATGCATAACTATAAACTGGTATAAAGCTGCAAAACCAAAAAGAACAACTAAATTTTAAATGCTGCATGTAGTACAGAAAGGATTTATAATATTTTAGATATTCGGATCTATGATGGGGCCATGGGTCAAGGCCAGGGCTGAGGAGGTATTCTTCCCTGGTCAAGGCCAGGAACTCCTACATTTACAAACTACATCTGGTCACTGCCTAAATATTAGACACTTAAATATATCCACAGCAAATCTTTGCATGGTTACACTCACTTTGTTAGCTTGTTTGATATACTGCTAATCAAATATGTGTATAAACATTGTGGGCTGACCTTTACTCATCCCAGAAAGCACAGTCATCTTAGACTATGTAAAAAACCTATTACAACTGACATTGTATTATCATATGAACACACACAACCTGGAGTACTGGTCATCATAGAGCACAAGTGTACACAATTGTTAACATAATCTTTATATTTGATATGATACATATTTACAAGAGCAGGTCCATGTCTGTATTTATATTTTAGCTTACATAAGGCACACACCTTTTGCATCAAGGTACAGTATATTTGAAGCACAATGTTTCCACAACAAGATGTGGCAGCCATGTCATTTTTTATGTTACGTCAATGATCTACCTAACAATTACATTTTGATGCAACAGTGTCCACCTACCTGTACATCCTGACATGACAGCTAAACTTAGGTTAGGAGGGGTTTGTGTCTATATACTTGCCAGTTTGGATCTCTGACGACTCTGGGTAAAATTAGGTGAAATTGGAGTAAAGAGTAAAGAGAGAGCGTGTCCAGTCAAACCTTCACCGGGTAAATAATGTCAAACAAAGAGTGCCATCAACTGCAGAGAAGCTGCAATTCAGTAGAGTTGTAACTCAAGGCAGGCGCTGCCATCTCTGTTCCACCAAGAGCGTCCTGCCCTCTTATCTTTAGGTTGACAAACTTGATTTTCCAGCTGTTGTTCTCCAGCGGAGAGCGGATGAGGCCAAATATTTGCTCAAAGACGCCCAAACAGGCTTCATCTCTGTGGATGGTCCCAGCTACAGCCACCAGTACCAGGCCATGGGGGGAGGCCAGGGCCCTGAGGCCATGAGGCTCCAGGTTGGGGCTGAGGAGGAGGCGCTCTTCTCTGGTCAAAGCCAGGAGACGAAGGCTGACCAGTTCAGCACCCAGGAACTCCTCAATCTGCTCGCTGCCAGCTCTGAGAAAGAGACACAACCGTTTAATTTTGGTCTATTTTCCCCAAGTTAACCAAATTAAATTATTCTGTTGGCATGTGTTTTATTTGTAGAAAAATGAGACCACTGGTGCAGTCCATGTGTTGCTCAGTGTCCTTGGGTCAGACAATGGAGTGGACTGACGTATGCCACAGTGTTTTTCCTTAAAAGGGTCAGGGTAAGGGTTCACCAGAGTCAGAATCTTAAACTTTCAATTTTTAATTCAGCTTTATTGAAACTGAAAATGGAAAATGATACAACCGAATAATGCCGTTTTTCCATTATCAGTACCAGCTCAACTCGCCTTTATTCGGTTTTGGCCCGCCGTCCTCCGCTTTCCATTGCAGATAGTACCCAGAGATAGTACCCCTCAATGTAGCTGGTCGGCACAGCAACACCACACACTGCCACGACGTAATGTTCAGTGCGACACACACACCAGCGACCCACAGACAGCTGTCTCTTGATTTAAGTTAAAACGTTTCAACATTACTAAGAATGTGTGTGATGAATGATGCAAGTGATGAAATAACGTATGAAAAATGTAAAATATAAAACTTTCAGGCCTCTGTCTGGCGCGCGCAATGATGATGCAGTGATTACTGATAATTCTCTCTGACCAATCAGTAGTCTGCTGTGTTTTCACATCACATTTTAGTATTGCCTCAGCTCGCTTGGAACCTTAACGGAGGCGATACGAAAAAATGTACCTGGTAGCAGGTACAAGTGCAACTTTTCCACAATGGAAAACCAAAAAAAGGTGAGTAGAGTCGAGGCAAGTTGAGCTGGTATCATGAGGTGGAAAAGGGGATTAAAATTAAAATGGATATTCTTAAATTAAAAGCTTATATAGAAAATCCTCAACCCAGTTCCCATGGTTCTCCGAAGTCTCTCATCAAGCTAATTTGTAATGAACAAAAAACAAAGCACGTTCTGCTCAAAATACATAACTGCTGTGAACACTAAGAAGGTAACAAACTTTTACTGTTACGCATATTTACCTGGAGAGGAGGTGTAGCTTCACATCTGGCCAGAAGTGCTGTGGTCCCCAGTCCTGGGGCTGCTGGCCCAGCGAGAGGTTCTGACTGTTTAAGAGTTGGAAGAACCACTGGCAGAACTGCTGGCCGAGGACCAGTGGGTCAAAGCCCACCTCAGCCTTCATGTTTGTGGAATCAGACGCTGTCTCTGTAGGAGGTCTCTGTCTGGTCTCTTCCTCTCCTAGACGGGTTTCGTTGGCCTTAAAGGAATGAGACTTTCTTAAAAACTGCCGAGTTGTGCCTGTAGTCCTTTTTGGTAGACAAGTACTAATAACACATGCTGCCTACCTCTAATAACTGACATTTCCTTCCTCAAGATATTTTCTTAATCACACTAGCATGTTGTAATACATTTTGAAAATCTACAAATGATCTCCAGAAAGCAGCTTAATCTGAGATTGATTTTTCATATACCCCATTCATAATCAAATAAACTTAGCTACCTTTTCTACCAATTCTACAAATCAACAACGTTATCGGGTAAAATGATTTTTCCAAAACCCTGATGAGGCAACTGAGCCAACTGATTCTTTCTTATTTCAACACTAAAATATCTTGGCATTTAATTGAGTCATCTCTAGCCTTTGAAAACTTTACAGTTACCCAATTTCCAGCCGTTGAAACCCTCTGCAGGTAAGTTTAAGAGGGATTCTATTTAAAGTTAGCACTTAATCTCTGGTGTTTCTGCCAATCTATGTTTCACCATCTTACCTGAAGCTGCCTCTATATATAGCTACAACCATATCTACATATTGATGGTGGCTGACCTGACCTCCTGTACTTACCTTCCCAGACGACCAGAGCTCCAGCGTCCTCTTCACCAGCTGGTGTTTCTCGCTGTTCGGGGGCATCGCTACGCCCTCTGTGGCCAGGTACTTGAATATGAGGTCGCGAAGAACCTTTTTCCTTCTCAGGAGCTCCTCGGCATTTAAAGTGAAGGACAGAATTGCTTCCATAGCCTCTGTATGAACACATGGACATAAGGTGCATGGCAATGTGATGGTTTTATTGTGTGAACATAACACCCTCCCTGCTTAAGTGAAATAACAAATCGGTTTTAGTATCCCTGGTGTCAGCTCATGCCAACCTCCGTTTTGAAAACGGGCAATTCATTTTTGCTTATTGGTAAACGTTACAACAAATATCTTTGGTCAACACTGAGGTGCCGTTGTGCCTATCGCTTCACATCCTTAAATCTTCCGGGCAAAATTAGTTCACGCAGTTTTCTGACGTTAACGGTTAACGTTACTGCCAACCACGCCTGTTTTAGTGGAACAAGACGAGGGGGACGAGGGTTTCTACAGTGGTGGATATTTTAACAACTGCTGGTACCAACGGTGCCTTTATTAAATACGGTGTTGTATGAGACTTCAACTTGTTACGTCTGTCCATGAGAAAGTGAAATGTACGTTAATTGTTTCCTAGCTAACTTTCTCGTTGCCATCTGGCACAGATTGAAAACATACCTGTGACATTTTCCACAACTATCATCTTATTCGTGACCGTGTCACTCAGAGAAAGTAAGTCGCCTTTTGACATCAACTTCAGTATATTTTTACACCCAGCGCGCTCTGTTTCTGACAGTCCTGACATCTTCGACACCTCAAAACCAAAATTTAAGCTCTTCTTCCTCCATTCGTGGTCTGACTACAAAATTGTCCGTAGCGGAACAAGTATCAGACGGAACACAAAGACTTGGTTCCTACGGTACGACAACAGTACGTTCAGCAAACGATCTTTGCTGCCTTTTTGGTTGTAGGAATTATTGGCGACTCATGTTGAAACTACTCAGTTCTTCCTCTTTACTTTCTTCTGCTCACTAAGCTTGATAAACGGGATTATGAAGTTTAAGGCTTGTCGTGTTTTTTTTCTTTATTTAAACTGATTTTTGAAAATTAAATACCTTGAACTGATTCTTACACAGACCTCTACATTAAGCCCATGTTAATTGGTTTTCTAAATGACTACTTTATAGGTGAAATAATCATTTATGTAAATTGTCATTATGTGTCCTGACATAATCAGCTGAGATACATTACACTGAAAAGAAAAACCCTGGCTTGTCAACAGACCAGCAGTCTGTTCAATGCTCAAATATCTCTTCAAGTTGAAATTGGTGGCAGAGATCCAGAGCTGAAAGGAAGGGCACTAGGGCAGGACCTTTTTATATACAGTCTATGGGCAGGACCAGTCTCGGGGGAGGGCACAGACAGCATAAATACAGCGTGTCACATATTATATGTCCCTTTTATAACCTAGTATTGTCTACGGATACCATTTAAGGTAATTATATGGTCATATGATAATTACAATTGTGTATGTTTTTATTGGCCAAATAGGCGATTTCATGCCAAACAAGTCAGAATGGAGTTTACAAAGGCAATTATCTGCTGTCATGTCAAAACATGTCATTCTGGTTTGTAATGGAAACTGAGATTATTGTGATTTAGAGCAGAGAAGTTTCAAGAGATCACACGCACCTTCAAGATTTCCTATAAGCACTTTGTTTATAGTAATCAGCGCTGGAATATTTATGTTTTCAAGGAGCACCTGAAGGCATCATAAAACAAGCTAGCTAGTACATCATTGGCTTAACCAAAGCAGCTAATAGGCTAGCTGTTAGCCTGCGTAGTGGTGATGTACTGTCAGTGCTGCTGGGTAATTCACCTGCGAGATAAGCGATGTTTCAGCGGACGTTTCACATAACGTGTATTAACTAAAACAGGACTAAAGCGATCAACTGCCAGATTTAAATTGTACTCCCGACTAAAGCAAGAGAGTCGGTCGCTGAAAGGTAACGTACTGTTGTTATCATTTGCTCATAGATCCACATTAGCTTGTTAACGTCACTCCAATGTTTAGCCAGAAACGTTTGGTTGTACGGTTTACGCTATATTCAGCGTTAAATAGTTTTACTCATATGTGACTGACAGAGCTGTGTACCGTTAATGATTTAATCATTGTTAGGTTTGTTGGTTATATTGCTGTTCAGTTCAACAAACATGTCCCCAATGCCGAACTCCATAAAAAAAGTTGTGGAATTTAATAAGCCTTGCTTGTTGGTAAAGGTTGTTTACACCGCTTAAAATTAAACGTATTTTCTCTAAAACTATGAAATGCAATACTATAATTCGGGATTCTGATTCAACCTTACATTTGCGTTAAATGTCAGTTAAAAAAAACTCCAGCGTTGCAATTTATCTGCTGTCAAAAATCTGCAAAGCTGTTTATTATGATGATATATATATGTAACAGACTTACAGGGGAATGTGGTAAAAGAATTCCACGTGGGAAAACAGTACTAAGCCAGTTCTAAAATTAGATGGGAAGATTTTGTTGTGAAGTCACTGCCCGGGAAATATTAATATGCGAATTGCAAGGTCTAATATATCTATATTCCGTATATAATTGCATTAAATCTGTTTAGAGATCAGGACAGACCTTGGACCTTGACCTAGTTTTTCAAACTGAAATCAAGTGAGGTGGTGTGGTTTGATCTAGCTTTTGATTAGCTTAGACTAATATTGACTTGCTGCTTGCCTAACGTTGTTGTTTATACAGTCTATGGTTGTGTCACAATGAATGAGGAACTGTGTCGTTGGCTAACTTCATACAAAATCAGTCAGTATTTCACATAGTTGAAAATACACATCACACTGGTCTGTTTTCAACACAACAAAATGTTCAGAAATGAGCATGGAGAAAATTGCGCCAGTCATCAAGTCAGGCAATAAGAGTTTCTTATTTCCTCATAAAACTGTGTTCACCCACAGATTTTAACTTTTCATATCTTCCCATCTATATATAGAGAAATGTTTTCACATGTGTGCACATATGCACAAAACTAATCTCACATGTATGCACATAAACCTACATGTGCACATGCATGTATGCACATTATACAACACTGACACACTTGCACAGCTGCACACATTCACAGGAAGAACAAAACTTTATACTCAAGGAGATCAACATCTGTTGCAAAAGTCAACATGTGAAACCTCGCACTGACCCAAAAAAGGGCAATAGTTTAAGGCTTCATTCAGGCCAAAAGGTGCATCCAGTATGCTTTAAGTTTAAATAGGGACATGATATGTTGGATAAAGCTACTGTGCAATCCCCACTCAGTAGCTTAGAGAAAGAGGAAGACATGGAATGAACTGTTAAATGTGTATGCATGTAAAACAGAAAATCATGGAGCCCAGCCAATTTTCTCTGGCCAGCTAAAGCTTCAAACTCTTTGCTCTGCTGTCTTTCCATTATTGTTGCAGATGGGGGAGTTTGAGAGCAGTGCTCTGGGCCGGGTAACGGTGTACTCCATCCAGGGCTGCCCACACTGTGTGCAGGCGAAGGCCACCCTGGGGCGTTTGGGAGTACCGGTATGTGACGTGGATGTGGGGAGGCATCCAGAGCTAAGAGCCAGGGTGAAGGAACTGACAGGACGCAGCTCAGTCCCTCAGATCTTCTTCAACAACATTCATGTAGGGGGCAACGATGACCTACAGAAACTGGTGAGGAGTGGAAACACCAAAAGATACTATTTCCCCATTTGACTAGTGAACCTTAATGTATATTTTTGAACAGGGTCAAAAAGTCCTATTTGCATCTGTTATTCAAAATTGTGTTTTAAAATTGTATGTATGTGTTGATCTGTTTCACTTCCTCAGGCTCCTGAGGAGCTTCAGAGGTTGGTAAATATGGTCAAGGATGAGCCTCTTCCAGCAGATGCTCCACCACTACCAGAGACTCAATCAGAGGAGACGACTGTGGACACCGATGGAGGTGAGGGATTTATTGGTCCGACAAAAAGAGTTAATGATTTTTACAGATCACTTTGTTGCCTCCAAACCTAGGAACAGCCATAATATCACAGATTATGGGTTAATTGCTTAATGTTGAAGGATCTGTTTGAAAACATGTTCCGTTTCAGATTGGTTTGGTCTTTTCCGAAATGGGTTGTCAAATAGTGAGATGACCCACACTGAGGGGAAAACGTCCTTACACTGAGGTACTGACTCAGATGAACTACAGTTAGAAGTATAGTTAACAACATGGTGCTGGCATATGTGGACACAGTGGTATGTTTGGATAACAGCAGGTGTGCGTGTGTGTGCGCTCATCTACTGTCACTAATGCCAACACGGACAGTTGATACAGGAAACATGATACTCTGGATGAGCTCCGCAGCATCAGGCTGCCTCACTGTACCTCATTATATGTGATTATTAAGATCCCTACAGTTTAGACAAAGTCTATCCACAAGGGTGCTTACACGGCCTTTTGTGGAGAAATATTTGAATTCACTGTGAGCTTTGATGCTGTGGTAGCAACATCACCACTAGTTAGCAAGCAGCAGGTTGGCAGATATGTTTTGGGTACAGAGGTCCTGACAAATACTGAATATATTCCTTCAAATTGATATCTTAGTGAAGCTTTCATTCCATTGGTTCTTTGCCCCTTGACAGTTGGGCTGTAAGATTAATGAACAATTAAATGAATCGGCAACTATTTTCATAATCGATTAATCAGTTCACAATTCTCTGATTCCAGCTTCTAAAGAATATTTTCAGGTTTCTTTACTCCTGTATGACAGTTAACTGAATATCTTCAGGTTGTGGACAAAAGAAGACATTTGAGGACGCCATCTTGGGTGAAACACTGATCGACATTTTTCAATATTTTTCTACCATTTTCTGACACTTTAGAGACCAAACAACTAATTGAGTAATCAAAATAATAATCTACAGATTAATTGACCATAAAAATAATAGTTTTTTCAAACCTACTTGATGTTAACCCCAGCAAAAGTAGATTTAATTTTTATCAATCATTGACAATACAGGCGATTGAAAAAAAACAAGATTCAAGTTAGCAAAATATCCAGGGCATTTTTGTTTTTTTTATGTCACCACATGACTCATATGAATCACACACCCCTGAAGTGGCTAATAAAATCCAGCAATAAAGCAATAAAATTTGTAGCATCCTGGTTCTGTCCACATCATGATTAACTCGTGAACACAACGAAGCTCGTGAACACACCGAAGTCGGAAGAATGACTTCCCAAATGGCATGTGAATCTTAAAAAAATAAAGATATTTCTGTTAAAATGTCTTTACGTGTAAGGTAAGCAATTTGTTGCTTTGGCCCTTGTTTCTGAAAAATACTCAGCTAAAACTCAGCCATGCTGGATAAGGAGGACCTGTATAACCTGGCTTAATTCAGGCGCTTTTTTTCCACCAATCAGATATATTTTCTGCACACAAGTTGGACTACATAGTTGAAACCTATTCATACATGTGGGTGTGTGAACATGCATGTTTTTTGTGTGTTTGTACGTGTGTGGCTTGGCATATTCCAGCCCTCGCAGAGTTTAAGTGTGAGAGAGATGAGTTGGCAGACCTGGTAGAGGACCTCAAACATGGCAGTGTGATTGGCCATCATAGGAGGGGACTGACATTATACAAAAAGAGCTTCTCAGGGGATCAACTGGTTGACTGGCTGCAAAAAGAGAAGGGGATGGGTAAGTGAGGCTGCAGTGAAACAGGCTTTCAGTGTTGTGTCCGTTCAGTTTTGTTGAAGTTATTAGAACAATCTGGAAAAATCATTGAACTGTCTCAAAAGTGTGCTGATTCATGCAAAGTATAGTCAAATCCCCATGTATCAGCCCTTGACTTTGGCCACGTGTGTGCCAGCCAGGGCTGAGGCCTGTAAAACTGGCCAAGCTTTGTTGCAGAAGAAGTACATGGTCAGTGTGCGTGGCAGTGGGCAGCAGGATGGCAGTTTTGGAGATGGGAAAGACGCCATGGACACACTGTATAGGCTGCTGGAGGACGACCCTCATTCAGCCCTCAACGCAGGACAGACGGCAGCCTGCAGTCCCATCCAGGGTAGGTCAGGACTGGACCAGGCTGTGGGGCATACAAACACAGCATTCCAGGTTCAAGCTGACTGTTGTCCTTTAACGCTCTCTAACCGCTGTCCTTTCTTTGCTGCTGGCTTGGTATATGATCTGTTTGGGTTGGCTTGGGTTTGTGTAAGATGTCAGTGAGCTTTGTAGTGGCAAGAACTGAATTAGGGGTTAATGATATATCTGATAATGGCCTCATAAAAAGAGTGACATTGTTCATTCATCATGTATGACTTCCACCTCCTGTATGATGGCTACAGTGTAGCATGAACACGAAACCTTAGACCTTAGAGAAATAACCTGTCAAATTTAAAACTCAAGGTCTACTTACTCCCTTTTTTGCAGAGTTTTCTACAGCAATTCACTGTCTTAATCAGTGCAATGGCATTTGCTCTGTTGTGATGGTGTTGTAGTTGTGACATGACAACTGAGCAAACTCCATCAGTGTATGAAGGCAAAGTGATAAGGTTGAAAGCTCAAAAAACGCTAATAAGTTGATCTTGAAGGGTTTTTTTTGGGGGGGGACAAACGTGATTCACTATGTTTGATAACATTGTATAATATATAGGCCTATTTTAATAAATTCAATCCTATAATTCTGTTGTAAAGTTTATCAGTAGCCTATGAACGCCTGATAAGAAATGATGAGAAAAAAAAATTGGTGTGATAATATATATCATTGAAACCCTATTTCAAAACCATGTTCTGGTTTTCTGCGGGTTTGGTGTCATCTTTTGACACGGTTTTCCTTTCTTCTGAGATGTCTATTGTTCTGTGGCTGTGGTAAGACATATTGCCTGGCTCTGTATTGTTGTATTAATAACTAAATGTTGCACACCTCTAGAGGCTAACTAACAAGGTAATCCGCGCTGTACAGCACAGAGGTGATTATAATCACTCCTCTTCTAAGTGTTGGTGTTCTTATGCTTGGCTCTTGAATTTATCTGCAAAGCTGTTTTTTCTCACAGGTAATGTTTCCTAATAATAATCTCACTTGTACAACGTCGGGGTTGGCCTGATCTTTAAGCAGTTTGTTAATTCCCCCCCCCTATGGGTTTGTTTCACTACTACTTTAAATATACACTTACTTAACATGTTATAGTGCCCAGTAACAACCTTCACATTTTGTCCCAGCATGTTTTTAATTTTTTGAAATGCGATTGATTGATAGATTTTACAGTACAACATGCAGTACGTCTTTTAAAAAGCTCCAGTAATTGTCAAGATTCTGGTTTGTCTCGCCAGAAAACGCTATTGAACATATCGAACATAAACTCTCTCTCTCTCGCTCTCTCTCTCTCAGCTGCTGAGCTGTCTTTGCTTTTACGAGAGATGATTCTGAAATTGTTCTCCGAGCATCTCTCTGCTGATGGCAAGGTAATGTCCCCATTAACTCGCCATGTGTGCTGTTAGGTTTGAGGTCTTTCATACTCGACCTTGCTATGGCTAAACCAAATAACAAATTTGTTCACTTTGTGACTGTAAAATGAGTGTGTGTGTATGTGTGTGTTGTCGTTGCTCCCACAGTCTGTGGACTACAAAGGCATGTCTGTGAACCCTGCCTTTGAGCGGTACTGTGAGCTAGCCATCCAGCTGCAGAGGGTAGAGCTGCTTTCGCTGAGTCGGGAGGAGAAGCTGGCCTTCTTCATCAACATCTACAATGCCTTGGTCATCCATGGGTACCTACGCATGGGGGCCCCCACCAACATGTGGCAAAGATACAGAGTAGGATCATATAGCTGCACTTAAAAATGCTACGGTTTTTCCCAAAACCAACATATCCCTTGTCCTTACCACATCCCAAGAGAGTCCCCGTAGAGTTTCTTTACAGGTGTACAGCATTTCCTGGTATCTTTATATATAGCTGTTGTTATCAGAAAGGGTATCATTTTAGAAAAATCATTAAGCTTGTTTGGAAATACTTGTGCTGCAAAAAGTCTATAAAGAAAACAATAAGGCTGGGCAGAAAATTCTAGATTGAAGGTTTTTCATTCTGATTAATTTACACTGATTATAGCATTATTTTTACATCCAGACTGAAATATACAAAGATAAAAACATATGCATACTAAACAGCATGAATGAATGTTTTGTTGAACGTTTTCTTGTTGTATTTTCACATCCATTAGGCAAAAGGGTTAACATTTCAAGATGGACTTTATTATTAATAAAATATTTTGTTTCTGTCCCATTTTGCAGTTCTTCAACTATGTGAGCTACCTGATTGGAGGAGAAGTGTTCACGTTACAGGACATTGAGAATGGAGTTCTGAGAGGGAACAGAAAAGGTGTCGCACAGCTCCTAAGGCCGTTCTCTAAAACCGACCCACGACTACAAGTATTAAAAACAGCGGAACATTTCACTGATACACCAGTGGCAGTTTTAATGTGGAATGACTAATGAATTTAACTTCCCATGTTGACCACTAGGTGGCTCTTCCAGATGCTGAGCCCCTCATTCACTTTGCCTTGAACTGCGGCGCAAAGGGCTGCCCGCCAATTAAAACATACTCTCCACAGGTAAGCAGATTTAAAAAATACTTTACTAAATTTGTTGGTTTTCTTGGCAGACAATATGAACCTATTGTTTCTAATTGTGTTATATGGTATGTGTCTAGTACTACTTTCTCTATTCCATTGTGTCTCAGCTGTGTAATGATTTTTCAAAGATAAAGCTACTGAATATATTGAACAATGCAGTTAACCACAATAGCCATAAAAATAATATCACATTATACAATATAGATAGATTATGAAAACTTTACCTGTCATGTTTACTGTAATGTTTATATTCAGTTAAGTTCAGTGTAATAAGTTTGTGACTTGGAATTGATGAACTAGAATGTCATCTTTACACAGCTAATTTCATTCTAATCAGAGCTAATCATCCCTGAAGACAAAATTTAATTACTCTGTACAACATATCTAGTACATATTAAGAGCCCAAATGATCACTTGAATGAAAAATCACTTCTGATCCCCTTGTCCATGTCAGGACATTGACATTCAGCTCCGCTTAGCGGCTGAGTCCTTCCTGGAGAATGACGACGGCTGCGTGGTGGATTCTGGGAAAAGAGAAGTGCGACTCAGTCAGATATTCAAGTGGTACAAAACTGACTTTGGAGGCACTGATGAAAAGGTAATTTGACACACATATATACTGTATGTATGAATCATCGTTCTGTACTTTACACACAAGTACTGTGTACTGTGATGCTATTCAAGGCTGCTGATGGAAATGTGGACACTGATGGCTGAAGTAAAGTTGGTCACCATTTTTGTTTTTATTTTTTTTTAATGCAGTGTTTACACTAGGTCTACACAATTAATCTAAATATTATTAAATACCCAAATCACAGAAGCTGCAGCTTTTTAGATAAAGGTAAAATATATGCCAAAACAGAATTATAATGAAGTACCGTAGTGCTGCAGAGATGCCCCTGCCTACAAAAGTGGCTCTCCAGATGTAAGAAAACATGGTATTTGGGGCAGACCCCAACAAATGTCACATCATCATGATTTTGATCGTTTTTTCAGGGAAAATGAAAATTGCAATGCAAAAAAACGTGAATCACATCACAAATCTGTCACAATGATCGTAATGTGCTTTCTCTTCTTGCTTGCCTCTTTTGTAGTTGCTGAAGTGGGTTTTGGAGCACATGGGGGACTCTCCGAAGAAGACAAGCCTGCAGGGTGTCCTTTCTGCTGGGAAGATCAAAGTCAGCTTCCTCCCTTACGACTGGAGTACCAACAGCGCCCACTGAGCATGCCCACACAAATACGCACACGCCCCCGCTACGTGCTACGTGTCTTTGCATCATCCACTTTCTGCCGAGCTGCGTCTACTGAAAAACCAGGAATTGGTGATCTGGTGCTCGCCAAACTCGACCCACTTGTCTTCAGCCATGCAAATGTTTTTTATGCAAAACAAACTGTATATCCATGTGGCGAGAGGGGCGCGTTTGCACTGTACCACTGAATCATACTTCTCTTGTAGGCTCATCCTAGCTTTAAGGTCCTATTGGAAGCTCCTACACCCTGTGTTTGGAAGTCATGTATTGAGTTTTATATTCAAGTTTTTATTGGTTTGACGTAATAACAGAGTTCCTATTTCAGAAATCAAGTTGCACACAGACTGTGTACTGTAGCAGCATAATTACAACCCCAATTCCAATGAAGTTGGGACGTTGTGTAAAACGTAAATACAAACAGAATACAATGATTTGCAAATCCTTTTCAACCTATGTTCAATTTAATACACCATGAAGACAAGATATTTAATGTTCAAACTGATAAACTTTGTTTTTTGCAAATATTCACTCACTTTGAATTTGATGCCTGCAACACGTTCCAAAAAAGCTGGGACAGGGGCATGTTTACTGCTGTGTTACATCACCTTTCCTTTTAACCACACTCAATAAGCGTTTGGGAACTGTACAACTTCAGATGCTCAACAGTCCGGGGTCTCCGTTGTCATATTTTGCGCTTCATAATGCGCCACACATTTTCAATGGGAAACAGGTCTGGACTGCAGGCAGGCCAGTCTAGTACCCGCACTCTTACTACGAAGCCATGCTGTTGTAACACGTGCAGAATGTGGCTTGGCATTGTCTTGCTGAAATAAACAGGGACGTCCCTGAAAAAGATGTTGCTTGGATGGCCTCGTATGTTGCTCCAAAACCTGTATGTACCCTTCAGCATTAATGGTGCCTTCACAGATGTGCAAGTTACCCATTCCATGGGCACTAACTCACCCCCATACCATCACAGATGCTGGCTTTTGAACTTATGACTTCCAGATGGTCCTTTTCCTCTTTGGCCCGGAGGACACGACGTCCATAATTTCCAAAAACAATTTGAAATGTGGACTCGTCAGACCACAGCACACTTTTCCACTTTGTGTCAGTCCATCTCAGATGAGCTCGGGCCCAGAGAAGCCAGCGGCGTTTCTGGGTGTTGTTGATATATGGCTTTCGCTTTGCATTGTAGAGTTTTAACTTGCACTTGTTGATGTAGCGACGAACTGTGCTAACTGACAATGGTTTTCTGAAGTGTTCCTGAGCCCATGTGGTAATATCCTTTACACATTGATGTTGGTTTTTAATGCAGTGCCGCCTGAGGGATCGAAGGTCACGGGAATTCAATGTTGGTTTTTGGCCTTGCCATTTATGTGCAGAGATTTCTCCAGATTCTCTGAATCTTTTGATGATATTATGGACCGTAGATAATGAAATCCCTAAATTCCTTGCAATTGTACGTTGAGAAACGTTGTTCTTAAACTGTTGGGCTATTTGCTCACGCAGTTGTTCACAAAGTGGTGAACCTCGTCCCCATCCTTGCTTGTAAATGACTGAGCCTTTCGGGGATGCTCCTTTTATATCCAGTTATGACACTCACCTGTTTCCAATTAACCTGTTTACCTGTGGAATGTTCCAAACAGGTGTATTTTGAGCATTCCTCAGCTTTCCCAGTCTTTTGTTGCCCCTGTCCCAGCTTTTTTGGAACATGTTGCTGGCATCAAATTCAAAGTGAGTGAATATTTGCAAAAAACAATAAAGTTTATCAGTTTGAACATGGAATATCTTGTCTTTGTAGTATATTAAATTGAATATAGGTCGAAAAGGATTTGCAAATGAATGTATTCTGTTTGTATTTGCGTTTTACGCAATGTCCCAACTTCATTGGAATTGGGGTTGTAGTAAGATGAAATGCACATTATTAATGCCCTATGTAAAATGTCACAGCCTGAAAATTGACACATTTCCCAAATTAATTTTGAGTAAATTATCAGAGAATGCTAACGGAAAGCATATTGTATAATAACAACAACAATCATCAGTATGGCTTCAATGTTCACCAGTCCTAGTCTTTAAACACCGTGTCAGCCACTCAGGAGTCACAGATTATCACAATCGTGTCTGTCCAACACAACACTCATTGGGCTATTTATGTGGAGAATTTAATCAGAGCTGCTGGAGATGATAATTTGGCTGATTCAAACACACTGCCTTGACAAGCCATATCAAAACCCTTTGAACTTACAGAACCTAGTAATTCACGTTAAGCGGGCTGCAGCTTTTCAACAAAGCTGCTCCGTCATTTATAGTCATAATTTTTTAACCCGCAGATGTAAACAAGTTGATTTTTTTTCTACAGGGGAAGAAAGTAATAGCTGTTGCAGTTTTAACACCGCGCCCAGGGGATATTAAATGCTAAAATATAAACACAACTCTGCTTGTAGCTGTAAATCACCAGATGTTTGCCTTTTAAAGATTTTGTAAAGAAAAGTATGAACATTTCCTTTTCTGAGCATCTATGACCCAGGTATCAAGATCTTTTTCATTGGACAAACAACATCTGGTTTGATGCTGCTACTGCCACTTATCTTCTCAAAGCATTGGCACATGTTGGACAGGGACTGTAGCTTGGAGTAGAAGCTGTGAGGGGGCTGTATCCTCTGATGTCCTCATCTTTGCAGACAACAGCCTCAGTAGGATCCAGTCCCTGAATAAAAACGGTGTCCTTGTTTAGAGCACACAAACAGATGCAGCATGACTTTTGCATGTATTGATCAGTTTTTTTTATTTTTATTTATAACCCCTGGCGGTATTTTGTTTCTTCCTTTCTCCATGTGATCCCACATGGTTGTTCACCCCACTTTTTGATCCAGGTCTTCCATTTGAAATCAGAAAAGTGCTACTGCTGTGTTTTGGCACAGTTATTTAGTAAAAGATATAGGAATATTGTGAATTATTGAACTATCAATTAAAACTATATATTTGGATGCACTCTTGACACTTTGCATGTTTATCGCCACCTCTGAATGCTGTTGAGACAGATTTGTACTTTTTTGACAAAGACATAAAAACGGGCTGTGTTTATCCCTCTATTTCTAATATTTCCAGGGTGTCTGCAAGAACTGGAAAAAAAACCTGTTTTGAAAATATTTTTCGTTACCCCAAAGAGGTAGTCATAAATACAATTCAATGTAGCAGTTAAAGTTTTGATTAGAGTTTGCAGCTTTTTGGTGTGTTGAGGTTCTGCCTACAAAACTCTATAGTATCCTTTTACTATTCCCTTTCAAAACTGTAGTTCAGCTTGGTTTTCCATTTTACTTTGTAAGACTTCTTTATTTTGAACCTGATACATTTTTTAGTGTGATGTGCCACACATATAATACTGTATATGATTATGGGTAGTGTGCGACTTAGAAAAACCTCTATTTAAGGGTCTGTTTCCATAATTCAAAGATTTTCTTATCTCAGGTCAAAGGAAAATGTGAGTGGAAACAATATTAAGTTGTTTGATGTCATGCGGCATGTTGTGTATAGTCTTTGACAGTTTCATTCCTTTGCAAAAACATTGTGTCATGCACATTACTATAACTGTTCCTTTGTCTTTCAGCTATAAAGAGCACCAAAGCATATGGTTAAATTAGCATGCATTAAAACTGGAATGCAATTTGCTGCATGAGATACTGGACAACGCTCCAATCTTGAATGCAGGCCTCAAGCAGCACACCCTCTGTTGCTGCTTTGTTTCTAGCCTGTAAGCTCAGCCATAAGAAGTAGTTGGACCTTAACATTTACTCCCCCAATTAGACCATGTGTTATTTAATATTGGAATACGATAGTGCAAGCCCAAGTTTGGTCAGATTTAAAACATAACTCAGTATTAAACAATACACTGCACTTTTTCTATGAATACATGCCTTCAGTGACAAGTGCACCCTTGGCTTTACTACACTTACAAACTCCATCATTCAGTGACAGAGTAAAACTAAAGGGGAAGACAGTTTGTGGGCTAAAATGAACATAAGAAAGGGGTTTTAGATCCCTGTCCGCTGTCAAATTACCTCGTGTATCAGGAAAATGTGATGCAAAAACTTTTTTAAACAAGCAACTAATATTCTGTTTTCCTCTTTCTTGGGGTTAACAATGAAGCAATATGTTTATGTATAGTAAATATGCAATGCTGAACTAAAAATAAAATATGAGTTTGGCTGCTGTTTCTGTTACTGTATAATCCTACTGCATGAAATCTCTGCTTTGAAGCAGATTATTCTTTGGTGGTTCATTTGTGAATAATGTGCAAACATAACAAACCAATTACATAACCACAGACTTTTAGTTTGATTTGTTTATTCAAACAAATTGAATCACTTTTTATTTAAGAAAAATAGATAGGGAATCATCACCTTTACAAATCCAGTCTATTAACATTTTTACAAATAAATAAGCAAGTTTGAGGGCACAGTCCCATAAAAACATTACATTAAAAAGTTATTAAACAAATCAACCATCTGAAAAGTATATACATAAACAACCAATGTGAAATATTCTACATACTGAAATGTATGGTCGTGGAGTTAAACGGCCCAAGAATGAAAACGCTAACATCTTTAAATTCAACGCAAACTGGTACTGTGTTACTGGTTCCAATGTTTATCTTTACCTACAGTCTAACACTGATTCTGTTTTGGCACTACTAAAATTGTGCATAATTCATATACTGTACAGAATAATAGTGTTACAGTGTGAAGGCAGATTGATTCATGTTGTCATAACATGAGTAGAAGACTAGTTAACAAAAGGCAAACCCAATCCTGAATGCCTACAAAAACAGCAGCCCACACAGATTATGTTGAAAACACATCATTTAACTTAAGAGATGTAGAAAGAGGACACAACCACCACATGTCCTACTGTCACCTCTAGCTCTGTATACATCCTCTCGACAAAGACCAAAACCCAGCATGACTCATTTGGAAGACTACAATAATGGAAATGTGCTAAAGAGGAAGGGCAATGAGCTCTTTTCCACCAGTTAACATGGTATGTATTTCATACAGCAAACACAGCTTACGATATACTGCGTGTAAAATCCATACTCTAATAGGATAGGATTTTGAAATCATAAGCCGAAGCCATTAATGTGTGATGAGACACCCTCTGCCACCAAGGAATGAGCAAAAACTAGTAAGATCCTTTATGCAAACCCGTTTTCTCCCCAAAACAGATTATTTAGAGTGTAAAATAAGTTATTGTTGCCCATGAAAGAAATTCGTTATAAAATAATTATAAATATTTGTAAAAATGAGGCTTAAAACAGATGACAGTGAAATTATTTAAATCCAACTGATCCACAAAAAAGATTTTGTTCATATCTGATTTTTTTTTTTTTTAAATAGGTTCATTCAGGCTCTTTACCTGACTGTATTTGATCCAAATGGTTATGCAATTGTCAATGTCAAACTTAATTGAAAAAAATGGCTTCTAGACAAGTCATTCATATTTGTAGCTGTACCAAGTTCAGCTGACAGGGGGGGGGGGGTCATGGGACTTACCTACGTGACTAAGCACACACTGATGATGTGGAACTAGTTTTAGCTGTCAAAATGATTGTTTATTGCTTCTATCAATGAAATTAGGAGACAAAAAGTCCTCCAATTAACCATTTTGGCACATATTTCCTCTTTGTTTACAAACTGGTATTCAACAATTAAATAAGTACTGTATCTGAGTATTAAGAAAGGGTTCCAGTGTTCCTTTGTCTTGAATGCTTGTCCTGAGCCAGGTGGCAGAGTACAATGGTCACTCCAGTTACAGATCCTCTTCCTTAGCACTAACCTAAAAATAAAATTAAAAACAAAATTGATAATACATTGTTTCAAGTGTATTAGAAACGTTCATACAATGAAGGCTCAATACACTTCATAATCACTGAATCAAGCATACTTACTTTCATCGTCAGAATCGAAGCCAAAGAGTGCAGAGCAGGTGTTAAGGGCTTGGTGTTTCTGTAATTCTTCCAAGCTGCTGAAGGAGGAAAGACATTTGTCACAGCGATGCCTGATCTTCTGCTCAGGTGCCACAACTTCCACCTCCTCTTTTTCTGGGGCCGGCTCTTTCTTTTTTTTATTGGCCCAGTAAACATTATGCTTCGGAGCAGCGTCAACTGTGGTCCTCCTCTTGCGCATTGAGAGCACAGATTCATCCAGGTAGGTGGAGGGTGGCGGCCGGATGAACGGGGCTTTGACAAAAGTCGCATAGACGGGGTCTTCAGGTTTGAAGGTTTTGTGCTCAGTGATGTGTGGCTCTCCCAGTTTCTGCTGGACTCCCTCAGCCATCGTGGACAAATCCTCAAGGTCTCGGACATTCAAGGGGTCCCACTCGATGGGTGTCCTTTTCCTTCGACAGCTCTTACTTGGAGTTGCTGCGGCAGCACTAATATGGGCAGAGAAGATCTTTCCCTCTGACACTTGGTTTGTTGTCTCATTCTCATATCCGTTGATGGCGGTTTTGCTGTTGTCCGTGGGCTCACAACTGACTGTTTTCTCTGAACAATTATCCGATTTTAACAGGTCTTGGCTGCTGACATTTGCTTCACCAGGCCAATCTTCAGTTTTGTTAATTTCCCTGAAATCCTCAAGATTAGAGGCCTCATCATGATCAAGGCCGGGACTCTCCCTTTGCCCCTTTTTACCCTGCAGCCATATCTCCTCCACCTTCACTCTCTGCTTCCACGGAGCTTCAGCATTTTGCTGCTTCTGTCTGCTGGGTCCCGATTCCAGCTCTTCTCTTTGAGGCGCTGGGACATAGTGTCTCCATTCGTGGTCATACAGACCTTGAAGGTTTGAGAATAGCTTCTCGCAGTCTGTGAATGAACATTGAGGTCTGAATGGCTGGTGTGTATTGACATGGTCCTTTAATTCCTGCTGTGTCAAGAAGCGCTGGTTACACTCTACATGGTAGCAGAAGTGCTGGAGAGAAGTATCGTGGAGCTTCATGTGGTCCTTATATTGCTGGAGAAACTGTATCTGCCTGTTGGGGGAAAGCACAGTATAATAAGCTCTCCTCAAAAACATAGTTTCCAGCAAAAAATCTTTAGCAAGACAGAATAATAAAAATAACTGGTTTTGAATTTGTTAAAACTCAGCACATCAAAGGCTGAACACTGTATTGTACACTTACCGGCCACTTTATTAGGTACACCTGTTCAATTGCTTGTTAACACAAATAGCTAATCAGTCAATCACATGGCAGCAACTCAATGCATTTCGGCATGTAGACTTGCTGAAGTTCAAATTGAGCATCAGAATCCAGAAGGGGATTTAAGTGCAGCAACTGCGCGATGCTATCATGTCAAAATGGACCAAAGTCTGGTCAAAGGAATGATACCAACACCACGTTGAAAGAATGCCACAAAGAATTAAGGCAGTTCTGAAGGCAAAAGGGGGTCCAAAATGGTACTAGCAAGGTGTACCTAATAAAGTGGCCAGTGAGTGTATCAACTAATCATCATTAGACCTCTACATGGCAGGTTAATCATGTTCTCTTATTTCCCCCAACAAGCAGACATGTTCTAATTGTGATCCTGTATTCGTATTGCATGGCTTTGCCAGTTTACAACCACTAGTTAATCTGGAATCCAACAAATGTTGGAATCTGCTGCTTTAATCTCTTCTGGTGTGTTGTGATTTAATTTATCTGCCTCTGTAAGATATGAGAAGAAAGATGTGTGTTGCTGATGTACACAGTCAAATACTTTTTAAATAATAAACATGTGAAGGTGGTCATGCTCAACTCTACATGCCAGACATACTGTACGCATTACCTGAGGCATACGGAGCACTTGTGTTTGGCCCAAACAAACGTCTTCTCCAGCACCTTCTCTTCGCTAATATGGCATTTGATAGCATGCTTTGTTAGTGTGGTGCTGATCCTCAAGAATACTCTATCACAGGACTCTGAGGGGCACAAGTGATACATGATGGCCACACCATAGCCATTTTC